TATATATCTGTATGTAAATGAAGATATGTTAATGTAATATATATGATAATGTAAATATAAATCTTTTATGTACATTTGTACATAATTTATGTATAATATAGTGAATACAATGAAAATGTTTTGGTGACGTTCTCAAATTTTCCCTGAATTATGAAGATCATAATACATGACCTGTGATGTTTACTGACATGAAACAGACATGGATGGTTAACAAGCAATGTAAACTATCCTGCCAGCAATGAAGCACCCTATTTTCATTACAGAATGTATGGTCTATATCCAAGCGTGAACGACGACATTTGTTCATGATGAAATATGTATCATGAGACACTATTTCATTTAGAATTGTATCATTTTGTAGGACAGAGAATACAAAAGCTGCTATTTTTTCAGAAATCACATGTAGATGCCAATATTATGTGTATATTTTAAATGTTAGCTTGTTAGTGTAGGAAAGCTTTAGGCCACAGTGTGCAATATTTCAGTTTTATCAGACTGAAATGTTCAAGTCTGAGCGAGGCACACTAGTGGCTGAAAGCATGAGCAGCTACCCATCTTGGTTCGATGATGTCACTAACAAGGTGACAGAACTGATACTCTCTGATGACTGTATAAGTAGTACCACTAGCAGAGTGAACAGAATTCTGCAAGCTGAACGGCTTGTACATGATAAGAGTGAAGGTCGAGGGGTGTACAGAATTCTACTGGGCTTGTACATCATGAGAGTGAAGGTCAAGGGGTGTACACATACGTTCAGCTGAAAAAAATCTGTACACCCTGGAATTAACACACGTAACATGCATCATTATGAGATCAGAATTTACAATGAATTTTCAGGTGAAATATTTGTGTGTGACAATTAGATCTATCTATCGTTGTCTGACTCTCAGTATGGTATTCGATGTGGGAACAGGGTCAGTTGTGACGTGACAAGACTATGATGTCACGATGTCTGTACAGGACGGCCAACCAACCCATGTGATGTTTATGAGATGGTGACTGATAGATAGCTAGATTCTATGATATTAGTTATGATGTCAGGGTTTCGAGAACTGGTGCAAGAGACCTTAGTACTTAAAGATGTATACAAGATATATGATAATGATTATCATCAAAACCTCAGCGCTTGTTACTGTTTACATGCACATGTCATAATAATGAGATGATGAATCATATTTTTGTATATTTAATATAAATGTTCTATTTATATTTACAGTTGAAGAATTTTGATGAATATTCACAGTGTGTATTTTTAAGTTGAAAAAATCCAAGAGAATATATGGATGTCAACTTCTTTATTATGAGGAACAAAACATTTCAGAATATATGCTTACTCCTTCATCAGGTGAAAGCATATACTCCGAAACATTGTGTTCCTCATAATAAAGAAGGTTACATCCATAAATTCTCTTCGTAATGCATATCACTTCTAAATGCTTTTCAAAGACTTGAAATAAACCATTGTGCGCAATTCATCGTTTTTGTTTTTGCTTTGAAGAAACAAATAGCATTTCTGGGTAAGGCTTGCTGGGTGCATTTCTGACTTACACAAGCTTACCAGGTGACATATGTAGATATGTCATATGTAGATAAGAATGCTATGGAAGACTAGACAGAAGTATACCAACTAGGACAGGTGGAAGAGGCATTCTACATCTTCACTTCATTTCCTTGAAAGAGGGGCGTTAGGGTAGCCCAATGGTTAAAGCACTGGCTCAACATGCAGAAACTTGGGTTCAATTCCCAATATGAGTTCAGTTGGTGTACATTTGGTGTCCAGTCATGATATGACCATTACTTAGATTAAATTCATGAGCTCTGATTTGGTACTGACAGACCAGTGAGGCAGATTTGGGGTTTCTGAACTCATGCCTATTGCATCCTGACAAGTTCAAAGAAGGCAATCCTGCACAGTGATATGCAGTACCACAGACCACTGAGCCAACCCTATGCTATCATCGTGGTGATTGATACGATGGTCAATTAATAAGTTCTGAGCCTCACAAAGAAGCAATTGGGTAATAGTAAAATATTTTGTAGTGGACATTACATGTCACAGAGGTTTATCCACAAATACAATTGAGCAAATTGTAGTCGAGAGCCGCGATGGGGTCCTATAGTCAAGACGTGACCCTGCACGTGACCCTACAGGGTCACGTCTTGACTGTAGGACCCCATCTATACTCTTGGCTCAACAAATCAAGTCGGTAAATAAGCAGGGTTCTGTGACTTTTTGGAAATGGATGTACTTGAGGAACGGGCACTCATCAAGTGTCGTCTCACTTCATACCTTACAATGAATATATCAAAACTGTAGATTGATACGTTGTATCAACAAGAGTCCACTGTTGCTTTGATGCAAGTGATTAATGGTGTGGTACAATATCACAAATGTGTGAAAGACATACAAGAGAATGGAAAAAAATGAGATACTTGAAAAAGTATTCATTCAATTTTATGAATTTGCACATAAGTTCAACAATGGAAAACATGATGCCAAACATATATAAGTTCGGGTATCAAATTCCTTTGCCAGGCACTGAGATCAAATAGCCATGCTTTGCCCTTGAAATATGCTAATGAGGTGAAATATGCAAATGATATGTCATCTGGTAGCAGATGATTCAGAATTTCTATCACCTGGATAATGGACCCTTGGACTCCCAATTTGGTTGAAGGATAGAATAAAATGAGTACAAAAATAATTCAATTATTTATTTACTCACTGACAGAAAGAACGTTTCATTTAAGCCGACTGGCAAACAAGATGTTGCTAATAAGAAAGGGGTAAAATAAATATTATTTGTGTATCATTACAACATACCTTGTCAAGGAACAAATCACTTGATTTCCCTTTTTTATTGTTGATTGTTTCTTTTCCTTTCCACCCAAATAAGCCTAAGGTCCAAGACATAAAAAATGATATGAGAGACCATGAAACTGCTTTGTGTAAAAGATACAGTTCTTTCTATATACATGTTAATATGTGGATTTCTTATATTCCTACTGTGCATACGTAGACTGTACATGATGTGTAAGTAGAAATATATATGTTTGCTCACCTTGTATGAAGAATTATGATGGTACGTTTGGCAGATAGAATGGTATGCATGAATAGGTTGCAAAGAAGAGCAGGACGTCAACTGAGGAGGTTGGCTAAGGTTCATTTGTCAGACAATGCGAATGTTAATGACATTTCATAAATGTAAGGTATGGTTATGTTACATAAATGGACTCATCAGGTCTTTTCGAAAAAAGGACTGAGTATGAGAGATATAGGACGTGATGTCACAATGGACACATAAGTGCACAAGTCACATCATGTGCACAGCCAGAATGGTTCTTGTTATTTCACTGACTTTGCCATCAAGTTGTAAAGCTTATTAGCTTTGGTTTTTTTTGATAATTGTCTTCACTCATTAATTAAGATTGGAACTGAACGCACCTTTTCTCTGATTTCAGATTTGGTTTTTAGATATTTGAAATATTAATTTGTTAATCGTTTTAAAGTGCATTAGCTGAACAAAAACAGATACTGATAAATTAAGAATTTGTTTTTGTTTGACTTTAAAATCTCTCACCGTGTATATCTTGAGCATTGCTGGGGTTAAATATACTCATGTTGATTATCTTGGCCCTATGTTGTGGCAAAGATAGTTATCTTCCCTCATACCTGTCCTTTGTTAAATTTGTCATATACCAGATGACCCCTCACATCCGTATCACTTCAGACTCAAACTGTTCTACACTCTTTGAAAAAAGCTCCACCCGGATTTTTTTGTTTTCATATATCCTGAACTTCCATGTATTATAGAACTTTGTACATATGCTATTGATCTTACTTTGATATAGGTCCACTGATACCAGTGACACCTCCTGATAAGTCAGTACAAGGGCATTGTGTGTTCCTTAAGATAATTCCAAGTGCTACCTCATTATATGATGCAAAGAAGCTGAGTAGATCAAATAACCATTTGCCACGGAACAGTTTCGTATAAATATCAATACAGGATACAAATTTTAATTTGGCTACTTTATATGGTAATATAACATAAGTGGTGAAGATATCACCATATATAAGTTGTCCCACTGCCTGTAACAGTGTTTAGCAATCTCGTGAGCCCTAAACAAGTTATGGTTTGTGTGACCAATACCCGCGGGCACCTGTCATGTCAGAATGAGAATTTGTAGGTAGGATATAATTTCATAAACCTACTATGTGTCCCTGTTTCTGTTAATTAAGCTTCTGCAAATTACAAAATGATATTACACATGAAAACTGAAAATTGTAAAGGGCAACAACCTGATACTAATGTAAGGGAGGTCCCATCCATGATCAGTACAGAGAAACTTTTCATTTCCAAAGTTGTTTGTTTGTTGTTGTTTAAGGCCGCACCCAGCAATATTCCAGCTATATGACGGCAGTCTGTAAATAATCAAGTCTGGACCAGAAGTCAAGTGATTGACATCATGAGCATCGATCTACGCAATCAATCCATACATCAACCAAGTCAGCAAGCCTGACCACCCCGTGTCAAGTCAAAGTGTCAATTCCGGGTATAACACCAGAGTTCTTTCAAGGATTATGCCAGGATCCTAACCTTATGTCTATATCTTATTATATGAAACGTCAATGCCAGAGAATAACCAGTCTCGATTATCTGTGGAAACAGATTCAATTGGTCGTAAAAGGACTGAAATAGCGGTGAAAATTATATGCATGACTCATTGAAAATCAGAGATGATGCCAGGTGTTCACGAAAAGGGTAAGCATGTCCTGCCCCAGCGAAGTAGATATCAAACTAATGGACTGATGAGGTCACTGTACATTTGCTTACAACGTACCGTATTCGACGTAATAAGCGCCCCGCTCTAATAAGCGCCCACGGCGATATTTGCTAATATATTGGCTAGTGACAATCCCAATTAGCATCCCCTTCCGATTGACCAATGTACACAAGACCTATTTATTCGTTTATAATACGCACTCGTGTGTAATATGCACCCTCAATTATGGGCAATTAAATTCTGGAAATATGTACCTGTCGTATATAAACATTTCAGGCTGTCTATTTCTAATTTTGAGAGCGCCCTGGGCGCTTATTATGTCGAATACGGTATATTGTATTCTCGACAGGATTTCAGAAATCATTGAAACTTAAGTACCAATAACTTTCTGTAAATGTGAAGAAATGAAAGTTTAAAATGATTTTCATACAGGTGAAAATTGGAGAAATTTGGTAGGCAAGGAATTACTTGGACAAGAAAGCAACCAATTCACATGAAGTGAAGTAATGTACATGAATGATGTTAAGGCATTTCTTCGTTTAACATTCACCCATAGTGTCAAAGTAACCAAGTATCTGTGAACAAGTTACACCTTTGGTTCTTTCATTCTATGCTGTATCACTGATCTTGCTTCACCTCTCACTTACTTGCAACAGCCTTATGTATCATCTGAACCCAGCATCTGTCTAAACATGCATTTCCTTGCTCTGTGCAGCACACATCCGCTCTTGCATAGCAGACAGATCGTCACTCAGCAACTGTGTGTCCATATAGGATATTTTACACATTGTCATATTAGGCTTGACTGGGTCATAGAGCTGTGTAGGTTGGTTCTGGGAGTGCCAAGTCCTTGAACAGAGGATCTGAGAGGGAGAAGTCCTTGTCTAGAAGATCTACAGTTGACTGAAGGAAGGCTGGGTCAAGAGAAAGTTCTGTGGTTTGATGGAGAGCTTCCTGAGGGAGGCTGAGGGGTTCGTTCATGATTGACGTCTGGGTGCTGATCAACCGCAGCGAGCCTAACACCACTGTAAAACAATACCAGGATTTTAGCCAAAGTGACCATTAGAAACATGACATTTGTATCGGGTTTTCTGACCACCACAGAGTAAAGACAAAATTATTGGTTTTAACATTATTCAGAGACCGAAGGTCTCCCTCAAAAGTAAAGTGTAAGGTAGGATAAGGGTCCACTAGCAATGTCAAATTTATTTTAAAAAGTCTCATTTCTAATTTCGACCTCTAAAAAGGGCCCTTATCATACCTTATCCGTTCCTTGTTTCCCTGATCAATATGAACCCTGTATACAACGTATCTACATCGGACTGTTATGTGTCATGTGATCATGTGAGCCCATTATTGGTGTCCCCCGCCGTGGTTTTGCTGGAATATTGCTAAAAGCGGCGTAAAACCATAGTCACTCACTCATCAGTATGATCATGGAGCGAGTTTTGGAACTCCGCTATTGCAGAATTTCTGTAATTCCAAGGATCCTCTCTTCACTGTTACACAGTAAAGAAGGACGTACCGTTCCTTAGATCTTCCATCTAAAGATGGATAAGGACAACCTAGTATGGTCATTTCATACAACAATATGTCGGACAACCATCAGTGGTGAAAACAACTAGAAAAATATTCCTATATCTTTGGAATTGTGAATGTTCTTAGGTCGGGCACAATCAATATTCCAGCTGTATCACAGCGGCCTGTACGTCATCATGTCTGGGTCAGGTAAGTATGTGGTTGATGGGATTAACAGTAGTCTAAGCCGTTTGGGCATAATGAGTGAGTGAGTGTGAATGGTTTTACGCCGCTTTTAGCAATATTCCAGCAATATCACGGCGGGGGACTCCAGAAATTGGCTTCACACATTGTACCCATGTCGGGAATCGAACCCGGGTCTTCGGCGTGACGAGCGAACTCTTTAACCGGTAGGCTACCCGACCGCCCCTTTAGGCACAATGACACAGGTATGTCACACATCACTACCACCCGATCCTCATCAGGAATCCCTACTGGTACCCATATTCCACGTGTACTTTTAGTCGGTGATTTGCATTTACACAACGCCTTCAGCAATATTCCTGCAATGTCATGTTGCTGGACATCAGAAATAGGGTTTACAAATAGTACCCATGCAGGGATTCGAACCCAGATCTTAGGCGTGACGAGCGAAAGCTTTCACCACTATCTAACCACCCCTATGAAACATCTGCCGTACTAAGGAACACATATACTGACCTGATCTGAGATTAGCTAGAGACAAGTTGCTGGCGGCCCAATCCAAGACTGAGCGAAGAAAGCCCTCTGTGGTTGTTGTTGAGACCAGACGGTTGTAGGATTCGAAAAGGGGACGACTTATAAAGCTGAACTGAGTGAGTTCAGGAAAGTAGAGTTTGTCATTTCTACAAATCCATAAATAAATGAATAAATGAATGAAGGAATGAAAATACCACACGCACGCACGCACGCACGCACGCACGCACACACACACACGCACATGCACGCACGCACGCACTCACACACACATACATGTATGTCAGGTCATCGGTGTATATACAACCTAAGTTTTTTCTTGTTAACTACATGGGTAGCATTTACATTCCCATCTGACACTACCGAGTATTCATTTACTGCTTCGTGAATACAAGCAAACTTTGAAAAGATTTTTTTCAAAGGAGTCTGGAAAGACTTGAGTGAGGGTCGGGCAATATCACAATCGTACCAAACTTGAATAGGCTATTCGGACAACCTTATTTAATTATGTAGTTATCGGGTTTCTTAAAGTAAGACATACAAAATGTTTTCATGTCACATACTGAAATTAATACAACCATCTAATTCTACTGTCAACGATATGTAGGCCTGCAGGGCAAATCATGTTTACCGTTTCACTGTTTAGATCGAGATATTTCTTTAACAGCGTCTTGGAAATGTCTCGTTTTTCACTGGGTAATTGGCCTCTTTACTGCCAGAAGGGGGAGAGACGCCTCACAGCTGTAGGCCGTGTGTTGGCGATATCTGCTTACACAATAACAACTGCCATCCCATCAGTTACAAACTCCCTCGTAAAATCCCCGTATCAAATCACTTTTATTCTGTGTAGGGCATGCCTTGAAATACTAGCCACACATACCTTTCCCCAAACGAATCCCGATTAAACCATTCTACTTACAGTTGGCTCATAAACGACACTAGCTACGACTGGCCCATGCGCTGGCCGTCACGGCACGGGGTGTAAATCCAACCCTATTTTACGGGTGGTAATGTAAAGAATGCAAGGATACAATCCAGAACTTCCAACTGTCACGGGTTCGACTCTGGATGTAATCACTTAGTCGCTCTTCCATGTTAACTTGGGGTGGTTCGAATAGGTTCCCGTCAGGCATGAAGGCTTGATACGCTCTGGAGGTGCAAACAGATACATAGTTAGCGAATTGTGATTAACGCTTATTGAACGGTGGGTCTATTATGGTTGTCTGTTGTATGTGAGAGGAAAGATCAAGTTAATGTAAACCGTGGATGTTTGCCGATTTAGGGAAGGCCTTGGGTACGGGTATTGTACAGACAAACCAAGGATCATAATTGGAGCGAACCTTGGATTCGAACCAACGATCAGTAGATCCTGGCACTGTACAGTTGTATCGATCACCGTGCCCGACAAATACATATTAACGTGTGGCTAATCAGAGAGGTCTGTGTGTTTCCAAACCTTCTCTTGAAAAAGTGATTCACATTCAGAAATATTACAGCTATTTTACTTGGATCTGTAAATAATCGACTCTGGATCAGAGAAACCAGTGATTGATATCATGTGCCACGCCCCACGTCGTCAGGGCACGATGACACGCAAACAACCACGTCACCGAGCTTGAACGTCCCATTATTATCACACACGAATGATATAGAAAAAAGAACCAAAAGGCTCTGTAGCTCACCTGCAATTTTCTGGAATATCATGTTGGACCAGAAAGGTCATATAAGGTAATGAAGAATGAGAAAAATAGAGGATTGCGCATAAAAGAGATCCTCATATCATGGGCAATATATTACACAGTGGTACATGCGTAATTGGCCAAAGTTACTCGTTCATCGTGAGATGCATTATGTAATGTCAGACCTTTTAAATAAGGTCAGGAATCCTGTGAGCAGATTAGATGTATCATAGCTGTATTTTGCCATACAAAATTTTAGCTGCATGGGTTTTGAGGCTTCAGTTGCGATGTTGAAAATGTAAGGACTTATTCGGACGGCCAGCCCCCGTAAACTTCGCCCCGATCAAAGCTCAGTAGGCTAGCTAAAAACTGTCATACAGGCTTTGTAACAGTGACACCATTATTTAATCCCAGGAAGACTTACTCAATTTCAGCATTGAGGATGTCCATTTCCTGTCGCAGCGCTGTGATCATCGTCTTCTGCTCTTCGCATTCGGTCTTCACCTTCCGGCTGTGATCGGCAGCTGCAGACAGCATCAAATAGAGATATGAATTACAATTAATGGTGAACGCAACAAATATATTCTATGACGTGTAAAATACACAATTCAAAGTCGACCAACAACTACAGAAGCGTACAATATACAGATGATACAAGGCAGTATGATGATTATTCTACAAAATGAGGTGACGTGCAATAGGGTTTAACGACCCGTTCAAGATTATTGCTCTTATATAGAAACGCGTGTGTGTGTTTGGCTGTCTGTACTTGTCCGGACTAAGGGTTTTATACTGCTAGCCAGGTGAGATACCATGCTGCAAGTTTAACATGGATACCCCACTCAGACACAGTATACTGACCAGCCCTTGTGATATCCCGTTAATGCCGAGATCCAGGCAGGGTAACAAAAAGTACCATCTTTTAACATCTTTTGGTATGACGCAGCCGGGATAAAACTACCGACGCTCTCCGGGCAGACGTTCTATCCACTTGACCACGGAGGCGGTCTCTTAAAAACGAGACAGCAATGCTGCATGGGCGGTATGGTTTTACCTTTGAACAGAATATCTGACTTGCTGTCTCTTCCGACCGTTGTTTCGCCATTCTTGGGGACAATGTTCTTTAACGTCTGGAAACCATTCTGTTAACAGAATTATGTCCTTTTGAAATGTGTATAATGCCAACCGCATTTACAACAGTCATTTCTATAATAGGCACTGTCTTAGCTCAGGGACAACGTTTTCGTCATAAATACAGAGTGTAGAATGTTGTTTTATGCCGCAGTCAACACTATTCCAGCTATATGAATGATCGAATCAAGGCAAAGTCAAACCAGTGGTTGTCAGTATGAGCAACGATCTAAACCTTATACTAGCAGGCCACCAGTGTCCCCTTACAGTACACCACATCCAGGTCTCACCTGAATCTTTCCCCGCCGCCTGTGCTCGGCGTTGATGTGGGACTCTCTCTTGTGGCGAGGGATGGGGTTCCGAGGACGTCCACATTTCCTCTTCACCTTCACCTGTGCGGCATCGCCCACGGACCCCTTGGAAGGGGGGCACACTACAGAGGGTGGAATTGGACCCTGGAAACAAGAATAGGTTTCTATTTCATATCCGAAGAATATAAGAAAAAACAAGAAGATACTAAAGCCAGAACCACAGACTTCATCGAACACATACGAGGGCTGGTCAAAAAGTTCTAAGGCTGACAAACAAAACCAACAATTGTGAAAGTGTTTTTTTTTTGTTTTTTTTTCAATATAATCTCCTTGCTTTTCAATACACTTCTCATATCAATAGTGAAGCGCTTCAATTCAAGTCAGGAAGAAGGTTTCTGAAGCCACCCTGAAAAAAACATTCACGGCAGCTTTGAGGTCATTGTTGTCGTCATAGCGCTTTCCACGAATGTGTTCTTTCAGTTTAGGAAACAGTTTCTTTGCCGGTGGAGTGGAATGGTGCCATTCCATGGATTGACGTTTTGTCTAGGGATCACTGTGGTTCTCCCAGCCTTAAACATACCTGCCAAACGTTTAACAGTGGGATAGCTAGGGCACTTACCCCTGTACACTTATCCCTGTGACATGCGGTCATGAATTTCTTAGGGTGTACTTTTTTCTAAAGTCAAAAAGTATATGACTGCTCAGGACCCGCTCTTTTCCATTTCTGTGTCCATTTGGAACCCTATCACGTTCAACTGGCTGTCCCTTATATTCAAACGGCCTCAACAGACCAAATACACTTGCAATAAACTACACACTCAATGTATTAAATTGACTAGTTTACTTTGTTATGGCCCAGAATTTAAAGTTCGTCAGGCTCAGAACTTTCTGACCAGTCCACGTACAAATAGCAGGTTACAATATACAACATTCTGGCCGTTTTCTCAAAGTTGTAATCACATCGAAGACTCACTCCTATTCCTCACATAGATACAATGAAGCCCAGCCCCATAGCTGGAATATTGCTGAGAGCAGCGTAAACAAACAAACAAACAGTGTCCCCACCGGGTGTGATATTGCTGGAATATTCTCCCAAGCGGCGTAAAACCAATCTCATCCACCCATTACCTTGATATATGAAGTAATATACTTTGTATAGTGTATTATCTTTTCCTATCTTATATCAAATCAGTTCCCACACACTATACAAATATATAGATAATGTATCACGTTCCTGTCGTCTTAATTCCGGGTAACCAGTAAGAAGACCGGGCCTTGTAATAAGCAGTGTAAATCAGCATAGCATTATAGAGCAACCCGATAACTGGACACATATTCTCTTATCTAACTGGGGTCCATTTTTTGCCAATATTTCAAAATGCCCTTCACGTTGATGACATCGGTGGGGATTTGTATGACAAGCCACGTTTCAGGACAAAGCAAAGCGGTCTTCCCAACAACCGACTATGAATAATTGGCTTGAAGTACTTTGAGATCCCCGGGACCATTAACTGGCTTACTGTACATGTTAACACTTCAAATTCGATTACTCAGTTACGTTCAGGCGTGTTTATAAATGTCCTTGTTACAAGTGGTCTGTCAAATCTGTAGTGTGCACTTCAATGACTTACTCGATGAAAAATTATTCGATTTTACTCATTCATATCCACATTCAGACTAACCCTGAATGCCCACTGACCAGTCGTGACTATTCGCTAGAGCACCTTTTCCTGCTAAGTACAAACAGTATGGTAAAAGGAAACATGTGTCCTGCATGAGGTACACATATGAAATTGTCTGAAGATCCACCGTTACTTCCGCTCACTGCACATCAAATGCTTTTATTCATGATGTATGACTAATAATGGCAATATGACAGTTTCGTGTGACTGATGATTACGATTGACATATTTTGCTTGTTTCATTTGTGGCCACCACCATACATGGGTGTGTACTTTCTCTTGCCCGGCAATTTGGTACTGGACGGGATGTAAACCCTCTGTGTAATGAGTGGCTTGTTGAGTTTCAATTTAGTATCACGAATTGGAAGTTATTACGAATATCATGTCATCACGAATACCAAGGCATCACGAATATCATGTCTTCACGAATACCAAATCATCACGAATGCCATGTCATCACGAATGCCAAGCCACCACGCATACCAAGTCATCACGAATGCCAAGTCATCACGAACACCAAGTCATCCCGAATACCAAGTCATCCTGAATACCAAGTCATCCCGAATACCAAGTCATCCCGAGTACCAAGTCATCCCGAATGCTAACTCATCCCGAGTACCAAGTCATCCCGAATGCTAAGTCATCCCGAATACCAAGTCATCCCGAATACCAAGTCATCCCGAATACCAAGTCATCCCGAGTACCAAGTCATCCCGAATGCTAAGTCATCCCGAATACGAAGTCATCCCGAATACCAAGCCATCACGAATGCCAAGTCATCAAAAATGCCAAGTCATCACGAATACCAAGTCATCACGAATACCAAGTCATCACGAATGCCAAGTCATCACGAATGCCAAGTCATCACGAATGCTAAGTCATCCCGAATACCAAGCCATCACGAATGCTAAGTCATCACGAATGCTGAGTCATCCCGAATACCAAGTCATCCCGAATACCAAGTCATCCCGAATACCAAGTCATCCCGAATACCAAGTCATCACGAATGCCAAGTCATAACGAATGCTAAGTCATCCCGAATACCAAGTCATCCCGAATACCAACTAATCCCGAATACCAAGTCATCACGTATATCAAGCCATCACGCATACCAAGTCATCACGAATACCAAGTCATCCCGAGTACCAAGTCATCCCGAATACCAAACCATCATGAATGCCAAGTCATCCCGAATACCAAGTCTTGCCGAATACCAAGTCATCCCGAATACCAAACCATCATGAATGCCAAATCTTCACGAATGCCAAGTCATCACGAACACCAAGTCATCACGAATACCAAGTCATCACGCATACCAAATCATCACGAATACCAAGTCATCACGAATACCAAATCATCCCGAGTACCAAGTCATCCCGAATGCTAAGTCATCCCGAATACGAAGTCATCCCGAATACCAAGCCATCACGAATGCCAAGTCATCAAAAATGCCAAGTCATCAAGTCATCACGAATACCAAGTCATCACGAATGCCAAGTCATCACGAATGCCAAGTCATCACGAATGCTAAGTCATCCCGAATACCAAGCCATCACGAATGCTAAGTCATCACGAATGCTGAGTCATCCCGAATACCAAGTCATCCCGAATACCAAGTCATCCCGAATACCAAGTCATCACGAATACCAAGTCATCACGAATGCCAAGTCATAACGAATGCTAAGTCATCCCGAATACCAAGTCATCCCGAATACCAACTAATCCCGAATAACAAGTCATCACGTATATCAAGCCATCACGCATACCAAGTCATCACGAATACCAAGTCATCCCGAGTACCAAGTCATCCCGAATACCAAACCATCATGAATGCCAAGTCATCCCGAATACCAAGTCTTGCCGAATACCAAGTCATCCCGAATACCAAGTCATCCCGAGTACCAAGTCATCCCGAATACCAAACCATCATGAATGCCAAATCTTCACGAATGCCAAGTCATCACGAACACCAAGTCATCACGAATACCAAGTCATCACGCATACCAAATCATCACGAATACCAAGTCATCACGAATACCAAATCATCACGAATACCAAGTCATCACGAATACCAAGTCATCACGAATGTCAAGTCATCACGAATACCAAGGCATCACGAATACATAGTCATCACGAATACCTGTAAATAATCGAATCTCGGAAGACTTTATGATCAAAGTCACATTCCGACGCTATCAACCAATTAGACATTCAAACAATTTTTTACAAAACTCAAAAAGTTTTATATCAGGAGGTTTTCCATGAGACATTTTATAAATCTTTTTATGGATGGAAAGTTACCGGGGGGATCCTTATGTTAATGACTGCCTTTGTGGCCACTGCCCCAGAGATAAACCTCTGTCAACAAACACGATACCATCAGTAGCGAGATGCTACGAAGCGCCTCGAAATACCCTGGTTTAAACCACGCTGGTGTAGATTATATAACCTTTGTTCGCCCTTTGATATATGGCCACTGCCTCCCGCTTGTGAATGGGGAAGGTGGGGGATCGGTTACCGGCTGCAAAGTATCAGTTTCTTCTCATCTCGTGACGGTATAGTAGCCGTATAAGGATTAACTTTAAAGTTGAAGATTTGATTGTTACAAGTGTTTTTTTATGATTGTTTAATGGTTAAAACATTGGATTGAAACTACACTAGTGCGTAATCTTAAGATCTTTTAAGTTTCGAAGTAATCACATCATTTTGTAACATAACAATATGACACAGCGTGATGTGCAGTATTCAGAGCGCGTAGTGAATTAAAAGAAATTACTTTCGAAAGAGATTCTAAATATTATCTTTGTTAAAACATGGTCGTAAACTCCCTTTTTATATTAGCTGTAATATGTGGTTTCATATTTCTATATCAAATAATCTTGCACATACTTGCCTGTGAAAGAGATTACTGTCATTTTCTGATAGAAATATTCTTCTTTAAGCAACGCAGACTGAGTGTGACCCGACTGATGTCACTAGTGTTCATTCTATCAACCACTGGTTCAACTATTTACAAACCGTTGCTGAGGGTTGTGTAAAACAACATTCACTTACTCACTAATAAAATGGAACGTTTCCGATTGAAATTTATCTCTACAGGGAGGTTTTGCTTATAGGGGTTTTGTGAGATGAATACGAGAAACATATTGATACATTATTTGATTGACAAACATGTAAATCATTCAGTGGCTCTTCACCGACTCGATCAGTCATTTTAAAAAAAGGAAATCCCGTTAGACCGGAATGTTAAAATGCGAAGATTCAAGAGAATTTTCCCGAAATTATAATTTAATTAATCAATATTACGAATTACTAGTGTAGATGTTACTGACAAAATCATTCGGAAATCGGTGTTTCACTTAACCTATTTTACTTTATGTATGTATTGCACTTATCATCATCATCATCATCATCATTATTATTATTATTATTATAAAAAGTATTTTTTTATAACGGTTATTA